GGACTCGTTACAAAGAGCATCAGTGTCGTTGGCATTCAACATGGAGGCACGGGTCAACATTTCCTCAGGCATATTCACGAGGTCGTTGATGTCTCGATGGAAATTCTTCGTCCCCATTTAATTAGGAGCTTGCGGGGAAAAACAATTGAGCTATTTTTGAATGTTTATCAAGCAATTTTTTCCGCGTGAATCCATCTTGGATTTTTCAACAGTGAAACAAATGTGAGAGTAGACGTGTTCTTCAATGTTCTACTTTATTGAATAATAATCATAAAAAAATTCAAGCTACTTGAAAACTGCATCAAATGAATAAAAGACGCACACTCGGAAAAATTCAATTTTTCAGTTGTATTTGTTGGGATTTATATTCGTCTCATCATTTATTGAAAAAAAAAAAAAATTAATTTCATTTTTTTTTATTGGCGAGGACAGGTAGGGATTTTAATGCTCTTTCCCTTTCCATCTCAAAATGTTAATAGCGGGTCATCGTCTCAAACACTAATGAACTAGAATTATTACAATGTAATTGGGGATAATCATGAATAAATTAATAAGGAGTTTTATCATCGTAACAAAAAAAGAGTGCGTTGAGCTGACCGATTATTTTATCAGCACGACGTGGACTTCAAATAGTTATTTTAGTGAAGTACAATATATAAAACCTTCGTTGGTCGATTTGGCTTCCATTATTATTATTTTTTTTCCGCAACGAACAGTATTTTGCACGTAACATGATGTATTTACCTGCAAATCCGGTCACAACACACACACTTGCATTCAAATTTGAACTTCGAATAGCTATTTTAGAAAAAGTATAAAACCTTTGTTGATCAAATTGCCTTCCAATTTTGTTTTACAGGAACATTCTTCCGCACGCATAAATTTTGCACATGAATTTAACTAAAATCTGGCATCAGTTCGTTCCACGATATTTTTACCTGCAAATCCAGCCGGACACACACACTTGTACGCATTCACCAGGTCCAGACAAGTGGCCCCATTTTCGCAGGGTTTCCCTCTTCCTGCACAATCATCCACATTCTCTTCGCAATTTTTCCCCGTCCAACCTTTCATGCACTCGCATCTGTAGTCCCCGACAACGTTGACGCACGACAAGGAATTCACGCACGGGTTCTGCTCTTCTTCGCATTCATCCGCATCTGAACCACACAAAAAAAATCAAATAAAAATGTTGTTCAAATTATCAAGAACTGCAGCAGAATAAATTAAAGACACGAATAAAATAAGTGAATCCTGTTCGCCAGAACTATTGAACTCTGCAGGGGAGGGGACACAGACGTTATTGTTCGAACGAATCGGACCGCGATGTGAGATCTTGAGAATTCTTTTCCCTCTCTTTTCTGTCATTTCAATGTAGTCTGAAATTCGTCATTCAATTTCCTTCTTCTTTTTTTTTTCGTGTGTTGTTGCTTGAAGATTGAGAATTAAATGCTCACCCAAGTCGCATGTGACTCCTGTCCAACCCGGAGGACAATAGCACTGGAAACCGTCGACCAAGTCCTCGCAAGTGCCTCCATGCAAACACGGTGACGACTTGCATTCGTCTATGTCTGAAATTGAATAAGTAAAAAAAAATATATATATACATATATCCAAGATAAATTAAAGGGCAATTAGAAAGTTTATTAATGTTGGAAGTCTTCCGCAAAATCGGACTGAAAATGAAAGCGCGTCGCGAAGCTCGAAAAAACATCGCGAACTTTTATTTTCAGCGAGACAAGATTTTTTTTTTAAATACTGCACTTCAGCTCTGTTCGTATAGGAGTTTTAAAAACTGTAAAAATGCTTCAATACTTTATTATTAAAACATAAAATCACCTCAAATCAGACTGAAAGTGAAAATGCGTTGCAATTGATAGTTCAAGAAAATGTAGCACACTTTTATTTTCAGCGAGACACATTTTTAAATTACAACGTTGTTGCGTTCTTGGAATTTAAATACGAATTTTAAAAACTATGAACAAATTATGCATATCATAAAAATAAAATAAAAGCACACCAAATCAGACTGTAAATTGAAAAAAATGCGTCGAGAAGTTCAAGAAAATGTAGCACACTTCTATTTTCAGCAAGACAAATCGTTTTAGTGCAATGTTGTTGCGTTCTTGGAATTTAAATACGAATTTTTAAAAATATGAACAAATTCATGCATATATCATAAAAATAAAATAAAAACACACCAAATCAGACTGTAAATTGAAAAAAATGCGTCGAGAAGTTCAAGAAAATGTAGCACACTTTCATTTTCATCCAGGCGGGGCAAGATTTTTTTTTTTGCCTCTCGTGCGAATTGAAAAAGAATTTTTTTAAACTGTCAAAAACTATTTTTAAATATTGTACAATAAAAAAATCCACAATTAGACTGAGGATGGAAGTGATTCGCGAAGTACAAGAAAATGTCGTACGATTATATTTTCGGCAAGGCAAAACTTTTTGCATACAACGCCTTCCAACGAGTTGAATGCACATTTTTTTAAGCCTCCAACATTTTAAAATTATTTTATAAATAAATCAAAAACGTACCAAATAAGACTGAAAATGAAAGTGCGTCGCGAAGCTCGGGAGAATGTCGCGCACTTTTATTTTCAGGAAAGATTTTTTATTTCGCGTTCCCGGGAGTTTAATAAGAATAATTTGGAATGACAATAAATGTAAATACTGTATATATTTTTGGTAAATAAAATAAACATCAGGGTCGTTAATAAACTTCCAGAAACTCTGAGGGGGGCAACCAGTTTTAATCTCCGTCAGGGATCGGAAAGGTAGAAGAAGAAGAAGAAGACGGGACAGGGACGAGATGTTGTAGATGAAATCTTCGAGTCCCTGAGGGGATGAGATGGGTGTTCCTAGTCGATTTTTTGACAAAAATAATGGCCTAGCTTTTTCTTTCTTGTTTTCAGTTTCTTTTATCAATCTCTTCTTCTTCATTATATTTATTTTTTTTGGTGTGTTCTGTTTCATGGCGTCATGTGTCGCATCCCCCGCACAGACGAGGGAAGTGACTCAGCAACAAACGGTTCCTGTGCGAGGGAATAAATCAATGCCTTGTTCGGGGTTCTGGTTGTTGCTGTTTTGCTCTGGGATTGACTGCATAATTCCTCAGGGGGTTTTTTTCCTTCCCGTTCATGTGGGTTCGTTTCTCGTCTCTTTTGCTTTTCTTTCCATGCTGCCACAGAATCAAGTACGATTCTGGTTCAACCAAATCACTGCGTTCATATCGAACGAATAGTACTGAGTTTTTTTTTTCAAGCACCGCAAAAGTCACATTTGCCTCTCACTAAATCAAACGAAAAAATATCCTAAAAAGCCAATGGTTCAATTTTACGCAGAAAACGGGTACATTTTCAACGACGATCGTTTGAAAAAAAAATTAAAAAACGAGAAGAAGCCCACCAATTTTCAGTTCCACTCCTTTTACAACTTTGAACACCACACAGATGTCGCCCCAACTTGAATATTAACAAAACGTAACAGATTCAACAAGAATTTACGCAATGACTGGAATGTCCAAAACATAAGAAACTCACTTGAATTAAGCCTCAAAAAACAGAACTCATGACATTCGGGTGAAATCTTATAAAAAATAAGGTCAAATTATTGATTTTTGACCTCTTGAGGTAAAAAAAAAAGCTCTCAACGTTTTTATCTGAAGTATAAAAACTAGGATTCTATAAAACTATCAATAAACCCTGTTTATTGATACCCAAAGAATTTCATAGACTTCTGCGGAAATGAATTCACTTTGGCAGAACGAGGGCATTTTAAAAATCTGCGACACACGGAACTCTTCGCAAAAAAAAAAAAAGTCTCAAGACATTAATTCAAAGCACGATTTCCCAGAGAGCTCAGTATATTTACTTCCTCCTTTCCGCACTAGAAATCAATCGAATTTAATGTAGTCAAATCCATGGGAGAGAAATTAAAATTTACGGATTTGAGTTGCACGTTTTATAGTCAACGAAAAAAAATTAAAAATTGAATCCCACAAGACGTCCCCTTTCTCGGCGATAATCTCGATCCTCCACAGAAGCAATGTCAATCAACTGTATTTTAAAAAAAATTACAGCGTTTTCTTTCCACAAAAAAATACAATAAAGAAAATCCGGGTCACTTCGGCACGCGGAATTTTTTTCGCAAGAAAACAAAAGTTCAGGGAGCACGATTTCCTCATATTCCTTCCCTCGAAAACCGCATGAAAACTCACGCCCTGGAAATTGCCGACCACCCTGCTAGTTTGACCCCCAGTGGGGTATATACAAGCAAAACCCAATGCAAAAAAAAAAAAAAAAACCGAAAAAATATGTTCTATGCAGTCACAGACACGCGTGCCATCCATACGCACAACAGCAGCAGTCCGTCAATCCAGACTTCAGTCCACAGTCGTCAATATTCCTTGGCGAACTGCAGTGACCGAGCACCGCAAAAAAAAAAAAAAAAATTAAACAAGAAACAAAATAAGGAAAATTGAAAATCTCGGGGAAAATACTGGGGCGAAAATTCCACCAGCTCGATTTCTTTGTGTGACTGCTGGGAACCGTAATATTTTCTCGGCATCCATTGGATCACCTTGAAAATCCTGTTCAACTCAACAAGTTTCTTTTATTAATATCCGCAAAAAAATAAGGTCTCGCAATTTATATTTCCGCGAAATGGAAAAAAAATAAATTTCCGCAGGTGGAGTAAAAAAAAAAAAAGGTAACAAGAAAGAGAGAATCTATATAGAAAGAACGTGAGTTAACTTGCAGAGAAACTCAAGGGCGTGTTTGAAAAGTTCATGACGTGATCTGAGCTTCGATCTCATTCCAAAAGGAAACACTCCCCTAAAATTATTTTTCAACAAGTCTGATCCAAAAAAAACAAAAAAAACAAAACAAATTCAGAATCAGGACAATCAAATGTGGAATCCTGAATATGGAAGTTTTTCTACTCTGTATGGAAATCACAGCCTGGAATCTGGCAATTTATTGCTCTCATAAATTTTGGAAATTCTCGGGGAAACACAGAAATACAGCACGGCCAATATTTTTTACATTGCTCTGAAAATGACAGACAGTACTCGTTAAATCTCGCATTTTGTGCAAAATAAGACACTACAGTATTTCCAATTACTGTACTCAAAATATTTGGCAGAACTTGGACTGCCAGCATGATATAGAAAAATCCAGTGTGGCACGAAAGCCTTTTAAAATTATTCCAGATAAACAAAAAAAATGGAAGAAATTATGAACTAACCCTAAGGTTGAGAAGAAAAAGTGAGTAACAATAAGCCATAAATCATTTCGACAGAAAAATCGCCATTTTTAGTTTTTAAACAAGCTATAAACTTACCATTCAACATTTTTTATGTTAATTTGGTCCACAATTTTAAAGAGATCTAAATTTTCAAAACAAAAAATCAGACAAATGAAGTCTGAAATAAAGTTTCCCTTGCCAAAAAAACCCCAGCCATTGATCCTGTCTGGAAAAATATTTTATCAACAAGAAGAGCAAAAACTTAGAATGAATTCTCCCGAAATGGAGAAAGAGAATTTTTTCGATAAAAGCCAAAAATTAAAAAAGGCCTGGCAAAGGTCTCTACAACGAATACAGTCGTCGTGCAACAAAAGTAATTTATTTTGAAAAATATTACAAAATTACTTTCAGCTTTTTATCAAATTCCAAAATGATCCAGCACAAATTCACTGGAGAAAACTCTAATTGATGATGATTAATTCCATCAGACCTTCTTCCTCTTTTATACTTTTACAGTTCTTGTTTCCTACTCAAGAATTTCAACCAAAAAAAAAACATAAGAATGCCAATTTAAAACCTGCATCAGTGTTTCTCTGTGTTTTTGAAATTAAATATCACATCAATCAAAGGTGGTGATCGTTTGCGTAAATTGCCTTTAAAATTTGATCAAAGCTCAAGTACATCAGGACATTCTTTGAGAAAGTTTTCCATCGATTATGACGCAACAAATTCAAGACTTTCCCCATTAATGTTCAGCCTTCAAACAAACAGCAGGAATGCTTTTCTGATTTGGTTTGTTCTTCAAGGTGCACTCACCTGTTTTTTTTTTCTCTCTCTCTCTCTCTGCTCGAATCCCAAGAATTCCGGGAGTTTCAAGTCTTTTATAAATGGCTTCTGGTTTGAGCACCTTGATACTATTTTTTTTTTTAAGAAAAGTTCTCCTTGTCTCACGCCCAGGAAAACATCAGCGGCCCTATTCACCTTAAAATTCATTGCCGGCCTTGAGGAATCCGAAGGAGGAGCAGTTCCAATGCGGGGGGCAAAAGAAGACTGAAAATGCTCAGTAGATCTTCACGACTTGTCTCAAAGTCCCAATTTTATAAAAGAAAAAAAAAGCCTGACTTTTGAACTGGAAAAAAGTGTAAATAAGTCCCCAAGTTAAAAAAAAAACCAGACAGAAAAAGGTCCTACCGGTGAAAGTTTTATGACTTCGCAGCCCCGTTTACTTTTTCTCTCCCTCTCCGAACTTTTGTGTGGGAGTGAATCTAATGCCCTGTTCATTGTAAAAGTCGTCGAATTTCACACGAAAATAAAAACGAATTCAATTTCAAAATTACGGTATCACTCGAGCAGTACTTATATATTTTTTTTTTCTTTCCTCGTTTCCCCGTCCTCGAGTTCTTTTTCTTTTAAATTTCGAGTGAGGTTTACGGGTTTTCGAAAATGGGCAGGTATTTCGCGAGTCAGTCAATTAAATGGAAAAGTCCTTCAAAGTGCGCTCATAAAAAGTAACGATCATTTAAATTGATTTTCGGAGACAAGAGGGGAAAAGCTTTCCTTTTGTTTTCCGAGTAACTGGAGGAATTTGCTGAATCCGTTTTAAAATGATTGTGATTCGTTTCCAGAGGTGCTCGTAGATGAAAATAAAAATTAGACGGATCACAGTTCCGTTCCAAGTACTTATTTTGTTTCTAAATGTTCCGTGAAACAAAAAAAAATCGAGCCATTTTCCTTCAGGGCCCCTTTTTTCAACTTTCAGGTCCCAAAGATTTCCTTCAGATCTCGTCAGAAAAATGAAGAAATTATCATTTTTCTCAGCGAAAGATTTCAGAAATGCGTAAGATCAAATGCAAAAAAGAAGAAAGTCAAAATAAGCTTTTACGGTTTCAACATCATGAGAAATTTTATAAAAAGGAAAAAAATTATAAAATATTGCTCGGAAAGAAATGTAAAAAAGATGTTATTTAATTTCCCTTATTTATAAATGAAAAATTATTCATCTTAGTAAAAATAAAATAATTGAAAATTCAATTTTCTTATATTTTACAACAAAATTTAAGAAAGTATTGTTTTGAAAGAAATGTAATAAATCTCAATAAGTTAAAGAAAATAATAATTTATTTTTAATAAGTAAAGTTAACTTTATTTTATTAGCTTTTACGTTCAAAGAATATGACATAAAAATGTTGTTTTATGCTTTTTTATAACAAAACTTTCTTATAAAAAAAAAATTCGAAGTCCAGAGACAATGTTTTCCTGCATCCGTCGAAAGGATTGAATCTCGAGGGTAGTGAGGAAAAGGGTTCGCTCTAGGCTCAATATTTCTTCTTCCGAGATTTAATTATGATCAATCGGAATAAAATACACCCAAGCCCGGAGGGAATTCCTCGCCACGAGCTACGAAACCCCCATTAAAATCAACGAAATCAACTTCTTCCCAACCCCGGAGTTAAAAAAACAAAAAACAAAAAAAAGCTTCTCCAAATTCTAAACCCCCTCATACCCAAATGCCCCCCACGGGGGATCAAGATCACTACACCTTTCTCAGCAGGACACCAAGCATCCGACCAAAAACAATACTCCAGTGATATAATACCCTTAAGCAAAGGGGAGAGAAAAAAAGGGGGAAATGGGAGAAAGAGAGAGAGAGAGAAAAGACAAAGGAGAAGAGAGAGACGCACAAAGTGTGGGGGAATGAGAAAACAACAGGTAGAAATTGGACCTGCGCCTCAGGGCACCAGCACCAGCAGCAGCAACAGCAGCAGCCTGTTGCTTCTGCTTCTCAGTTCACCAGCAACGAGAAACTGGAGCGATCCAAAAGTCCTGGTATTTTCAAAATCTAAAAACCAACAACCAGATTCTCTCGTTTGAGTTTGACTCTAAGCGTCCAAATTTTTTTACCTTAATGTAGAGTACAAAATTTACTTGTCGCCTGTTTTAAGTCCCTGGGCAAAGACTTCATTAGTAAAGAAAACTTAAAGAACTCGATAGTGTAAAAAAAAATATAAACTCTTTCGACTCCCTGTCAAACAAAGTCCAGTTGTATGAGTTTTTATTCATTTTTTATTTTTATTTTTACACTTGAACTTGTTTGGCACAGCAACAAAAACCAGGAAAAAATGAAATTTGCTTTTGCACAATGGTTGAGTCCTTTTCAGCATTTTTGGAACTCAATTGAAAAATATTCAAGATTTCAGACTGAAAGCTTTGTTCAATATGCCAAAATGCACTACAGTCAAACCTCTACCAAACTTCATGGGACCCAAATTCAACTACAGTGAACTTTCAGAGTTAAGGAAAGTACTACAGTATTACTGTATTTTTGGTCAGGAGAAAATTGAGAATTGCAGGAAGTTAATACTGCATTGACACTTTTTGGACCATAAACTGCCGAATAAATAAGTTGACACGATTTTGCACTTTGGGTGCAATGGACATTTTGCCAAATTAATCACTCCCTTCCTCTTGAAAAGCATCAAGTTACATTTTTATTGCTTTTCTCTCTCCTGGCTCCTCAGAATAATAGCCTAAGGGTCTCTCAAAATTTTTTAGTTAGACAGTCCTGAGAGGGAAAGTCTTTGAGTTGGGGATATTTACATCGAATTGTCCTCAAGAAAATCCAGACAAGGGCTAATAACAAACATTTGACATTCTGAGGTTTTTGACTGACAAAGGTTCAATTTATCGAAGTCAAACTCCATATTATTTTAGCCTTGGCACAAGAATCCAACAACAGCATACACAGGATGGTACCTGATAAAACAAATATCTTTTCTCTACAAACATTGTGTATGATGAATATTTGTATACATTTTGTTCACCGTTTTAATATGCAAAAAATGGTTTATGTGATAAATTTTTTTCGTTATGCAAATGAGAAAAGAGGTTTTAACTAATATTGTTATAGCTTTGGTACAAGAATCCAACAACAGCATACACAGGATGGTAACTCATAAAACAAACATCTTTCACAACAAACATTGTGTATAATGACTATTTGTATGCATATTCTTCACCCTTTTTATGTGCAAAAAATTGTTTAAATGATAAATTTGTTCTTTATACAAATGAGAATAGAGGTTTTAATTTATAAAAAAATTTAATTTGTTTAAAGATTAAATTGCACCATGAAAATAGGACTTGAACTGATTATGTTCATTGTATTATGTACCACTGTACTTGCCTGAAGAAAACAAACATCTTATTAACAAAACAAAAATGCATGCAAGTAACAGAAGTCAACCAACCCCTCAACACATCAGAACTATTTATGACGCCCTTGGCAAAGAAACCCTGGACCCCAAATCATGATCAGCTCTCCCAGTAGGTCCAATCAACAAATTAAAAATAAAAATAAAATAAAGGGAGCAGCAGCACAAGTCCAAGCACTGTATATATATATATATATTTATATATACAGACTCTCAAGACACATAGTGTTTCTCTCTGGCTCCAAGACTCAGGATGAAAGAGGCCCCGCATCACTGACAGCCCAGAGATTGATGCCCAGACGTCATCAAAATATCCCAACCCTCGTACCCCCCCCCCCCCTCCATTATTATTATTTTTTTAAACTTGTGCTCTCTCTCTCTCTGTAATTACAACGCATCAACGATTCCCTTCCATTCTTTTACACGCACCCGGTTTTGCTGCTGGTTTTTCGCCCATCATTGCCAACATATCTGATGATGGATCTTTCCTTGATTGAACCAGCAGCAGCTCCGGTGGCAACTTTTGCGGAATCTGATACCCCTGTGATCAAGGATCACAAAATAATAATAATTATAGTAGATTGAAAAATTAATCTAAAAAACCACGTTTTTCAAGTAAGACTAAAAAGCACAAAAAAATTTAGTAGATTAAAAAATTAATCTAAAAAACCA